GTCCAAAGTCAAAGGAGTGGGGCGAACACTCCTTCCCACTGACTGCTCCTCGCCTCATGTCTCATACCCTCCTCCACCATGCCTTCCCCTCCTTTCCTGAGCTACCCCCTGCTCCGGGGGGAACACCAAAGGAAGGAACACTGGGTGTGGCAGCAGGGGCAGCTCCGGCAAAGGCAGCAGCAGCGGCAGTATGGGCAGGGACTGAAGGAGCGAGTGGGATCTCATGGGAGGTGAGATGACCCTGGAAGGAGGGGGGATGAGAAATTAAGGCATGGCGATGGGAGAGCGTGGAAGGGAGAATGAAAGGGAGGGAGTGGGGGGCAGTATTTTGCAAGGGATCCACCCTGTAAGGGAGGGAAGATGAAAAGGACGGGAGGGCAGTGGGGCTATGCCAGAGCTGGGAGGGAAATGAAGGGGAGCAAGGTGGGGAAAATAAGCGGAGAAGGGGGGGAAATGAAGGGGAGCAAGGTGGGGAAAATTAGGGGAGAAGCGGGGGAAATGAAGGGGAGCAAGGTGGGGAAAATAAGGGGAGAAGGGGGGGAAATGAAGGGGTGAAGGAGGGAAATGAGAGGGAAGCGGGGAAGCGAGAGTGAGCAAGGGTGGAAGTGAGAGGGAAGCGGGGAAGCGAGAGAGCAAGGGTGGAAGTGAGAGGGAAGCGGGGAAGCGAGAGTGAGCAAGGGTGGAAGTGAGAGGGAAGCGGGGAAGCGAGAGTGAGCAAGGGTGGAAGTGAGAGGCGGCAAGGGGGGAAATGAGAGGGAGAAGGGGGGGAGATGAGAGGAGTAAGGGGGGAAATGAGAGGGAGGAGGGGGGGAGATGAGAGGAGCAAGGGGGGAAATGAGAGGGAGAAAGGGGGGAGATGAGAGGAGCAAGGGGGGAAATGAGAGGGAGAAGGGGGGGAGATGAGAGGAGCAAGGGGGGAAATGATTGGGAGAAGGGCTGGAATGAGGGTGAGCAGGGGGCGAAGTGAGAGGGAGAAGGGGAATATGTCAGTGAGAGCAGGGGGCGAAATGAGATGGAACAAGGGGGGAAATGAGAGTGAGCAAGGTCGGAAGTGAGAGGCGGCAAGGGTGGAAATGAGGGGAACCAGTGGGGGAAGTGAGAAGGAGCAGGAGGGGAAATGAAGGGGAGCAGTGGGGCAAATGAGAGGGAGAAGGGGGGGAAATGAGGGCGAGAAGGGGGGGGGGGGGGGCTGAGGGGAAGAAGGGGGGGGGATGAGGGGGAAGAATGGGGGGAATGAGGAGAAGGTTGGGATCTGAGGGGAAGAATGGGGGGAATGAGGGGGTGAAGGGTGGGAACTGAGAGGGAGAAGGGGGGGAAATGAGGGGGAGAAGGGTGGGAACTGAGAGGGAGAAGGGGGGGAAATGAGGGAGAGAAGGGGGGAAAAAGAGGGGGAGAAGGGGGGGAAATGAGGGGGAGAAGGGAGGCATAAGGAGAGGGAGTAGGGGGGGTAGTGAGGGGGAGAAGGGGGGAGGGGGGGTAATTAGAAGAGGATGCGCTTAGCGGGAGAGGCGCCACGCGGGCGCTAAGCGGGAAAGGTGCGCAGCGGGTGCGGCGCTAAGCGGGAGAGGGTGAGGCGACACGCGGGAAAGGCGCGCAGGAGGTGAGGCGCTACGCGAGAGAGGTGCGCAGCGGGTGATTCGTTGCGCGGGAGAGGCGCGCAGCGGTTGCGGAGCTAAGCGGGAGAGGCGCGCAGCGGGTCAGGCGCTAAGCGGGAAAGGCGCGCAGAGTGATACGCTAAGCGGCATGGCGCGCAGAGGGTGAGGCGCTAAGCGGGAGAGGCTCCCAGCATTGGAGGCGGTAAGCGGGAGACCCGCACAGTGGGTGAGGCGCTAAGCGGGAAATGCCTACCGAGCGGGTGTTGAGAGTGGCCGCGTGGCCAACGCATGGACGATGCGATCCCGCCGTCGGCCCCGTAATTTTCAATCGCTTTACGGCTTACTCGATCGCACCGACCCAGCGTGGTGATGCAACCCGTCGAGGCGCCCTTGACAGGGCTTCGACGGGGCCCATCAATACAGCACGACGCGCTCGACGAATGCAGAGCCTTTCCCTCTCCGATTGCCGCTGAACGGCGCAGCAGTGGAAAGGAGCTGGCGGGCAAGCTAGATGTATTTTCCCACTCGCACAAGCCTATAATGTACCTAAACTCATCTCACATGAGAATATCTGAGCGGTTTCGATGCTCCGCATGTTCTTTGTCGCGCCCCGGTTCCTCTATCTATGCTTAGCGTACATTAGTCGCTTATCATGGTTCCTAGTGGAAGTGTGACTGCAAGGTTGGGTGACGGGGGAGTTTCCCGTGTTTGGAACTCCTCAAAGCTGCAATGTTTCGCCAAACCTCTCGCCACGCTCAGTTGTTTCGTTCTGGCGATTTTTTCCCTGGCTACAGTGCAAGTCCAAACAGTACTTGCAAATGTATACTTCAGCTTTGGCAAATGCCCTTGCTTCTACAGCCCTGCTTCCAATCCGTCGTGGTTGTCAGCTCTGTTGTTTGCGGACGGACACCAAAAGGCGCGAAATTTTAAACCTGGGCAGTGTCAGGCGCCTCCACACACGACAGCACATTGCAGGCAGGCAGCGAATGTTGAAGCACCAAGGTGCCTTCTGAACTGGAAGGCTGAAAAATGCCGCCTCAACCTGCTTAGGACGCGGTAAAAGTGCTCGATCGGGGGGAGATCTATCCGGTCACCGCACTGAAACCCCGCGTTTTGCATACGGAAGGTACACAACCGTTTACAACCGCGCTAATAAACGATCCTGAGGCGATCAATTCTCCACTTTTACCGCGTCCTTATTGCTCATCGTAAAACAGAAATTCACCTAGGCTGAAGTACATTCAGAACATCCTCAATCAGTTTCTTGGATCACGAAGGACGATGTCTACAATTAATCTTCTAAGGCTCTTGGTGGCGCTCTTCCTTGCGAGTTCGAACTCGCCGGTCGTCGGAGTTCCCATGAAAACGCGGGACCCTTGCCTGCTGGACGGTGAGAGCGCCGCGGCGGATGTGGCACCCAGTGCGATGCCGAGCGCTCGAGCATACGCGTCGACGGCTGCAAGCTCGCTCGACGTGCCGAGCAGCAACAGCACGACGGGAAAAACAAGCTTCCTGGCTGGCGATACGCGCTTAGACAACAGTCCTGCCGTGACCTCGAGCACGCGCAGCACAAGCAGAAACAGTACAAGTCTAGACAGCAGCATTCACGGAAGCACGAGTGGCAGTGTTACGAGCAGCAACGGCGTCAAGTCAAGCAGTGGGTCATTGACAGAGAGCGACGGCGAGAGCAGGGCGCCTGGCAACGCCCGTGGTAGCACGGTCACTGCTACAGGTAGAGCCAGCAGCAGTACGACAAGCAGTACGGGCAACGGCAATAACAGTAGCAGTACCAGCAGTGGTACGAGCAAGCCCAGTAACAGTACGAGTACCGGTACGAGCAAGCCCACTATCAGTACGAGCAGTGGTACGGTGAAGGCGAGTAACGGTACGAGCAGCGGTACGGTGAAGGCGGGGAACTCTACGAGCAGCGGTACGAACAAGGCCAGTAACAGCACGAGCAGCGGTATGGTACAAACCGGTAACAGTACGAGCAGCGACACGATAAAAGCGGGTAACAGTACGGGCAGTGATAAGAGCAAGCCTAGTAACGGTACGAGCAGCGGCACGGTAAAATCCAGTGACACTACGAGCAGCGGTACGGTAAAGGCGGGTAACGGTACGAGCAGCGGTACGGGGAAGGCGGGGAACACTACTAGCAGCGGTACTAACAAGGCCAGTAACAGCACGAGCAGCGGTACGGTACAAACCGGTAACAGTACGAGCAGCGACACGGTAAAAGCGGGTAACAGTACTGGCAGTGGTAAGAGCAAGCCTAGTAACGGTGCGAGCAGCGGAACGGTGAAAACCAGTGACAGTACGAATAACGGTACGGTAAAGGCGGGTAACAGTACGGGCAGCGGTACGAGCAAGCCCAGAAACAGCACGAGCAGCGATACGATACAAACCGGTAACAGTACGAGCAGCGGTACGGTAAAGGCTGGTAACAGTACTAGCAGTGGTACGAGCAGGGCTAGTAACAGTACGAGCGGCGGTACCGTGAAGCCCAGTAGCAATACAACCAGCGGTAGCGAAAAGGCCAGCGGTATGGTAAATGCGAGTATTAGTACAAATGCCAGTAACAGTACGAGCAACGGTACGGTAAAGACCAATGGCAATACGAGCGGTAGTACGGCAACAACCAGTAACGGTGGGAGCAGTGGTACGAGTATGACCAGAAACGATACAAGCAGCGGTACGAATAATGCTGTTAACAGACCCAGCAACGGTACCGTTAAGGCCAGTAACAGTACGAGCGGCAGTACGAACAAGGCCAGTAGCAACGGTACGTTAAGCCGTAACAGTACAAACAGCGGTACGAACAAGGCCAGTAGCAACGGTACGTTTGGCGGTAACAGTACGAACAGCGGTTCGAGCAAGGCGCGTAACAATACGACCAGCGGCACGGTAAAGGAAAGTAGTAGCTCCGGCAAGAACATCAGCAGCACAAGCAGCGGCGAGGAAAAGGGTGGCGGGATCTCAGGCGGGGCGAGCAGCGGAATCAACGGCGAAAAAAACGCAGGTGGGAAAACCGGCGGAGAGACGAGCGGCAGTGGCGGCGGCACGGCTGAAGCGGCGTCCGCATCCGTGGGAGGGTGCGATGTGGCCAAAGGAAGGTGCGTACTACCTGCACGTTGCCTCATGCTGCTGTCACCCCCATGCTACATGGGTAGAAAGAAGCAGGCATACTGCTTGTGGCAAGCTGTGTGACGATTGCGGGTAGTTGTGGTTAGACAGCACGTGGAGGCATGGCAGGCGCACAGCATCCCATAGGCCCCTCATGACGGACATGTGCGCACCTCATATACCCACCTCGTGCGTGCATGCCATGCCATGCCACATGCCATGACACAAGGCATGTTTCGTGCCACATCTCATAACAAATTCCATGCCACATGCCCTGGGCAGATGGGTGCCGTCACATGAACCACCTCCGTACACGGGATTCACATGCACAACGCTGCGGGCGTACGAGAACTGCCAGAAAAACAAGCGCCCCGACTCCACTTACCTCAACTGGCAGTGGCAGCCCGACGACTGCGACTTGACAAGGTGAGCCGTCCGCCTCTCACTCCATGGTACCACGCTGTTCTCTCACCCCTTTCAGCTTGCTGTGTCTACTTTGTCCGTATTGCTCTGCGGAATTCCACAGTGTGCTTCTTAGGCAATGGTGGGCCTGGTCATTTCGCAACAGTGAGATTCGCTCCCCTGTGCAGGTTCGACCCAGCTGCATTTGCAAGCCGCTTCAGAAACAAGGTGCTTGGCATTTCAGGCGACTCCTTCTCCTCCAACTTTGGTAGCTCTATCCGCTGCATCATCGCCTCCTTCACCACCACCAAGGTACCTCGCAATGACATTATTTTGAGACGTAACCTTGCCTTTCTCTCAAATGGAATATCTCTCTCTCCCTCTCTGTCTCAAACGGTCCTTTGTATTAATGCGGTGATTGGTACAAGCAAGAGGGTCAACGGAGAGCAGAAGGTTGAACATGCAAATACACCTCTCTACATCTACCCGCCCCCTAGCACCTCCCCTTACTCCAGGGTGTGGAGGAGGTCCCCTAGCTGCAGGGGCCAGGGGTCCGCCGGAGCCTGCGGGTGTGCCGCTTCAATGCCCGCCCGCGCCTTTGCGTGCAAGGCGTTCGCTTGACTGCGCTCTCTCTCTCTCTCTCTCTCTCTCTCTCTCTCTCTCTCTCTCTCTCTCTCTCTCTCTCTCTCTCTCTCCGTCGACCCCTCACACACGCACATGTCCTCACATCATCACTTGTTTTTATGGTGCCGGCCCCTCGCCTGCCATGTGTGTGCAGGACTTCACGTCCACGTGGTACGGGCAGGATGTGCGCGGGTACAAGGTGCCGGCGTACAACATCACCTTCCTCTCGCTCTCTGCCGTCTTCCTAGTTGACGCCACGCCCATGGTCAGCCCATGCACACGCAACAACCATGCATGCTACTCATGCGTCTATTCGCTGAACTCGTGTCATGCAGCATTCGTCTGACTTGAGTCCCTCCAACGTGGCCCTACCTGTCCGCCCTGCAGGGTGCTGCCAAGAGCAGTGGCACCTGGAAAATTCACCTGGACAAGCCCAAGGAGGTTTGGGCATCCGTGCTTCGCTTCCTGGACATCTTCATCTTCAACACTGGCCATTGGTTTGTAAATGTGCGCCCCACATGCTTGACCTCTCTGCTTGCTCGCACGCTGCCACCCCTTCTGCTATTTGCTGACCCTTGCATGTCTATACCTGCCCCTCAACAGGCCCCCCCTAAGCTGCGGCAGTTCTACATGAAGGGAGTGCTTCAGAGTGACATGAGTCCATTCCAGGCCATGAGCGTTGCTCTTTCCACAGTGCGGGACTTCATCATCAACTCTGACTACCGTGGTGTGCCTGTCATGCTCTCATACTCGCCATACCATTACGAGGAAGCCTATGGTGGCGACCCAAAGAAGAGCTGCAAAGGAGCACAGAGGCCGTTCACAAATGCAGAGGTGGCTGTTGCGGAGAGAGGCACAGAAGCACTGGATGCAGTGGTCACACAGCTGGGCGTGTTTCAACAAGTGACGAAACCACCTGTGAAGGCAGATGAAAGAGCCACCTTCAGGATCATGGACGTGACACGGCTTAGCCTTATGCGGCCGGATGCCCATTTGCAGAATTACACTGGCGCATCTGGTACCGACTGCTCCCACTGGTGCAACCCTGGACTACCAGATACATGGTCAGACATACTGTATAACGTACTGATGTCATCGTGAGCAATACTTTATGGGTTAGTTGCGAACCCTTTATGCTAGTAGTGACATGCGATTGTATTATGCGGGACTGCATACATTAGTTTGTCCTATATTTGTATATGCACCATGTTATTGACATTTGTTCGGGGTTGATAATATGCGGACATGTGATGATGGTGAAAGAAGAGTACAGTAGACTTGTTCAGTGTCTACATTTTCTTAGACGAGCATGGCTATGTACATGCAAACAAACATGCCAATTGGCAGGGCAATGTGTGCATGGGAGTTGGGGGTTGTGTTACCCGATGCCATCCACGACGGTAGACGAAACATGGCACCAAGCAATGTGGACCATCTATTTGGGGGCTTGAGGCTCTCAACTCCATGCGAAGGCTCAGATAGCGATTGCGCGGGGAGAACGGTTGGGCGAAAGCTAAGGGCTGGTAACCAGTGGGGTCTCAGAAAACAGTGTGTCTGGCAGACACTGTTGGTGACGTGCAGTGGGTGAGTTCGCACTGTACACCAGCTCACGGATGCAACATTACTGTGCTGTGTTGACATTTTCCGAACCAGGGCTCGCCTTTAGGACATCCTTCAATATCAGGATTTCCAGGTGAGTGCCCAGATCATTAGAGACACGCGGGTTCCCCCGCGGAATCTTCTTGTAGCAAACCTTCAGTGTATAAAATACAGGTACAGCTGACCACAGCACACGCCGAGAATTAAGCACCCTGGACGGAGCAGTTGACATGATAGGGAAACATCAATTGGGTAGTGTTTCCAGCAAAGTATGTATACAGCATTAACCGGATTCGCAGAGTACCATCGAAAGAACCCTACAAGTGTGTGACTTCCACGAAACTGAGTGGTGTGGGCGAAAAGTCAACTACCTGTGGGACACGAGCGGATGGGTGGGTGGGTGTTACGGGTGCAATGAATCGAGGTAGCGAGGATTGCACTAGAGTGTTTAATGAGTACCAAATATGAGCGAAGGCATGAGCGAATACTTATACGCGAAAATGTGCAAACGGTAACGCGATGCGTGCGAGCTAGCTAGTGCTATGCTGGCACGACGTTCGGGCTAGTCCCGAAGCGTAGGCCGACTTGGTTGCTCCAGCAGTGCGAGGTTTGGTGAAACAGTGCGCGCGAAGTTGGCGAAGCCCCGTTAGCAGTAATGGGCGAACAACGGCTGCTGCTGTACGTGATGTGGACGGTCGCGGTAAGGAATAGCGAGAAAAATCCTTACACTACCCCCCCCCCCCCCCCTCAAGAATCCCCCTCCGCTACGTGAGAGCGTGTATATCGCAGAAACCCCTGTCAAACATTATATGTTTATCTTGTACTAGGCTCTAGTGGGTTTAGCCTTAGGGGGTACACAATATCTCTCGACATTGTACTTGTACCTCCCCTTTGACCTAATGCAATCCATTTCTCCTCACATGATTCTAACATGGTACGGTATTAAGAGCTAGTAGGTCCTTAGGACCAGAAATTTAATAGGGCCCACAGTTAGTTCCTGCCTGAATCGCGCCCCTAGGCGCGTCAGGTTATTTATTATGCCCAAAACGAGCCTAGGCACGTCGATTTTCACGGTCTAGCCCCGCTGCCCTGCCTGAGCGCCGCCCTGTCCGCGCGCGCTCTGTCTGCAGCTACGCCGCCCTGCCTGCCTGCGCGCTTTGCACGCCCACCCGCCGAACTGAGGAAGCAGCTAGACTATCTGCTCAAGAAGGAGTTCATTCGCCCGAGTTTGTCACCCTTCGCAGCGCCGATACTGTTCACACCGAAAAAGGACGGGGGTTTTCGCATGTGCGTCGATTACCGCGCACTGAACAGGGTTACCATCAAATCCCGTTACCCCATCCCACGAGCCGACGAACTGATCGACCAACTGCGCACAGCCCACGTTTTCTCGAAAATTGACCTTCGAGGAGGCTACCACCATATCCGATTCAACCCACCCGACTACCCGAAAACAGCTTTCCGAACACGCTACGGATCCATCGAATACACCGTCATGCCTTTCGGACTGACCAACGCCCCTGAAACCTTTCAAATGACCATGAACGAAGCATTCCTCCCGCTTTTAGACAAGTGCGTCATCGTGTACCTCGACGACATACTGATTTACAGCCCAGACAAAGTACAGCACCTACAGGACATTGAAGCACTTTTTAAAATACTGAGTCAGAACCGCCTACTGACGAAAACATATAAGTGTGAGTTTTTACAGGACAGACTGGAGTTTTTGGGACACATTATTTCAGCTGAAGGAGTGGAAATAGACCCGAAGAAGATCGCGACGATTCAAGCGTGGCACGCGCCGACAAACTTGACCGAGTTGCAGAGCTTTTTGGGGTTCGTCAACTACGTGTGCCGGTTCGTCCCCGACATGGCGAAGTTGACTGCTCAGTTGGCCGACCTGCTGAGGAAGGGGATTGAGTACACGTGGGGGGAGAAAGAGCAAGCTGCCTTCTCGGCCCTCAAACAAATTTTGTGCTCGCCGCCCGTGCTTCACATCGCAGATCCGCACCGTCCGTTCGAGCTCGTCACCGACGCCAGTGACATCGCCGTGGGAGTTGTAATGTTGCAGGACTTCGGGAACGGCCTCCAGCCAATCGCGTACGAGTCCCGCAAGCTGCACCCGCCCGAACACAATTACCCGATATACGACCGCGAAATGCTGGCGATCGTGCACGCGTTCAAAGTGTGGCGATGCTACCTGACTGGCGCCGACTTGACAGTACGGACAGATCACCGATCACTACAGTACCTCCGCGCCCAACCGAATCTCAACCCGCGACAGATCCGCTGGTTGGACTATCTGGAGTCCAACTTCCACTACACAGTCACGTACAAAAAAGTCGCATCAAACATCGCCGACGCACTCACACGCCCTGCCGCCCAACTCCGCGCCATCCTACTCGCCCAAACCAACCCACTATTAACAAGCCTATTCACCCACGGATACAGCACTGACCCATTTTTCACGACCGGAAATTCACGGCAACTGTTGGGTCACAGAATTCCTTACAGTGGGTCACAGTGTTATAAGTTGTGAAAGGAAAGAGTGCGCAGAACTCAATAATGCGGAAGTGATTACAACGTCTGAATGAACAACGAGGCCTAGGCACAATATAGCAAGGCTAGCTAGGCCGAGGTCGCGGGGTCGCGAGATGGTTGGGTGCAGGTTCGGGGTTGGAAAACCCGAAAGCGACGCGGTGGTGGCTCGGAAGGCGAGGTCGGCGGGCCGAGCCTGGTTTTCCGAAAGTCGGGGTTGTACGCGTACAGTGTGACCCAGTAAGGAATCCGGAAAATTCCTTACACTACCCCCCCCTTTAAGAAAGGTGGTGAATATCCGAAACACCTCGGCGGGCCAGGTAAACGTCCAAAACCGGGTGTCCCAGTAGCGAATCAGCAGCGACATACGTGTCGTCTTCGCTCGTGCGGTCTTTCCAGCGAAGTAGTAATTTCACCGAGCGGCCGGCGGCAGTCACATCCACGCGATGGTTAAGAATCTTCCAAGGTTCCAGCGTTGGCTCTGCCACGGGGCGAGTGGTCGGCGCGATGGTTGGTCGAGCAACAGCTGGCGACTGCGGCTGTTCGTAATGACGCAACAGGCCGACGTGGAAGGCGTCATGGATTTTCCAATCGTCGGGCAGCAGCAGCTTCGCGGTGACAGGTGTCACCATCTGGATGATACGGAATGGTCCCACGTATCGGGGCCCTAATTTCGCGGGCTGCGGCAGCCGAAGGTTCTTGGTGTCCACAAGTACAACCTGCCCTGTGCGGAAGGGTAAATTTCGTCGGTGTTTATCCGCCTGGCGACTGGCCGTGGTATTAGCCTTGCGAATGAAATCGGCTGCTTTCGTTCGGGCGGTTTGCAGTTCTGTGACAAACTGCTGCGATCTTGGTACCGGGTTGTCCACAGTCGTTGAAGAGGGTACCATGGGGTCTATCCCGTAATTCAGGAAGAAGGGTGATTGTTTAGTCGTGGCCGACGGGGCGTTGTTGTACGCGAATTCCAGCATCGGCAGCGAATCTTCCCACTTGCGAATGTCGGGGCAGTTGGTGCGAATCAGCTGTTCCATGGTCTGATTTGTCCGTTCCGTCTGTCCGTCGGTTTGCGGGTGGTATGACGACGAAAACTGCAGGCAGGTACCGTACTGTGCCCACGTTTCCTGCCAGAACTTCGACGTAAATTTCGGATCACGATCGCTGATGATCGCCGAAGGTAACCCGTGTAGGCGTACGACGGTGGAGATGAACAGTTTGGCTGTATCTTCGGCTGTGATCGTCGTTCGGCATGGGGCGAAATGCGCCATCTTTGTTAGGCGATCAACGACGACCAACACCGAGTCGTTGCCACTTGTGCCAGCTGGGAGCCCCGTGACGAAATCCATCGTCACCTGTTGCCACGGTCGTTCGGGTGGCGCGAGGGGTTGCAGCAGTCTGGCCGGCCTTTGTCGCGACGACTTCATTGCTTGGCAGGTCGGGCAAGTTGACACGTAGCGCTGCACATCGGTCTGCATGTCCGGCCAGTAATAATTCCGCTGCAGCAGCTTCAGTGTCTTGTCGGTGCCGAAATGCCCGGAGAGGTTGGAGTCGTGAACCTCCTGCGTCAGCAGCTCCCGTAAAGGCTGGTATGCTGGTACCCAAATCCGGTTCGTACCGGTTTTTAGGTAGTATTTGCCGTGCGGTGTAGCAGCCTGTTGTTGCGGGTTCCGAAAAAACCTGTCGATCTTGTAGCCGTGGGTGAATAGTCCTGTTAGCATCGGGTTGGTGTGGGCGATTAGTACTGCCGCGTTTTGCATGGATGGTCGGGTAAGGGCGTCGGCGATGTTGTTGGCGCCCTTTTTGTACGTGATGGTGTACCGGAAATTGGATTCGAGGAAGTCCAACCACCGGATTTGTCGCGGGCTCGCTACGTGGCTCCCGGCAGGCACCGAAAGGTGCACTGGGATGCTGCGAAGAGGGTGTTGCGATACTTGTGCAGTACATCGGGCATGGGGCTCGTGCTTGGA